TCGATAACAGTTAGTCTGATACCCAAAATAATCTTCATTTCTCCGCGAATTCACGAACAACACAACATGCAACCAACTACCAACAATAGAAGACTATAATCAAGAATGGAGAATAAGCAAATCATTAAAAGTGGGCGCCTCCACTTATCGAGCCACTTTTGTGTTTTTCTGTTATTGCCATCGGAGGAGCCGTGACATGCAACGATGTTTGTCTGATAACAGGTCACTCTGCCTCTGCGTTATCTTCAAATCTCTTTCCAAATCCATCTTTTCTAAATTTACACTAACAAACCTATTGTATTCGAGATTTATAATTTATTTAACACTTTATTAACTTTCTTTTATGTATGTTTTTGTTTTTGTGTGAGAAGAAATATATCATCACTATTTAATTATCATATTATTATATTTAATGTGAAATTTTTGTGGGTATCCACAACCAACCTGCACCAACCCGCAGTGGGTTGTGGATAGCATAATTCTACATTTGTGGGTGTGGTTACCCGTAAAATGTGGGGCGGGTAACCACAACCACCCCAATTTCCACCCCTACTAGTAGGGGGTGGAAGTTTGGGTTGAGGGTTGTGGATACCCGCAAACTACACCAACCCGCACCCATTGTGGATAACCATACCCATAACTTGTGGGTAGTTGGTTTGGCGTGGGTAGTAAAATAATGATTTTTGTGGTTAGTGGTTACCCACTTCTCACCGCAGTTAACCTACAAAATCCACAATAACCACACTAATTATATTTATTTATTGAATTAACTTTATAATATGATAATATGTGAAAAGTGGGAGGCTAAAAATTAATGTAGCCACCAAAATAAAATACGCACCTAATCAGTTTTATGTGATCATTTTTAAAACATATAATCGAGAGAATGGAGAATAATCGATTCATTAAAAATGGACACCTTTAGTAACTTTTATCTGTATGTTTTTGCTTTTGTGTGAAAGAAAATACCAAACTCGATTCCACCCCTAGTCGGTGAAATATGAAATCACAGCTCCTTGACACAAAAGTTGCATACAAGACTCGAAAAGACAAAATCTCCACGTTGAGTAAGATTGATATACAAAATTATCTCCACGAACAACACAATTGTATATCACTATAATCTAACTACGAACAACAAATACGTTAGTGGCAAACTCAACTCAATGCTTACAAATATGGATTTTTGCGGGTAACCACACCCAACCCGCACCAACTAGGAGTGGGTAATGATTACCCGATAACCACTGCAATGCGAGTTGTGGGTAGGCATAATTATAAATTTATTAGTGTGGGTACCAGCCAAAGTTGTCAACCCACTGGTCGACCTGCGGGTTGACCCACTTTGACCCTAACCCGACGAGAAAAACGGATCGCACGCACTCGCCGGGTCGACCGTTACAAGATATCGGGTAGGAGGTCAATTGTGTCATTTTTGTCTTTGGTTTGCGAAATGCGTCTTTTTCCGATTTTTCTTTTCGCCTAACTCAATCTTTGGAATCCTTAGTTGAACATTTGAATATTGATGTTATATAAGTGTGTGTGAATTTTCACTATATGTTGGATCTAAGTACGACATGTTACTTTTGTGTGATGTTATATGTTATTACTTATATGTTAGATGGGATTTGATATAATTTATCAGGCTAAATTGCAAGTTTGGTCACTAGAATTACTTAAAAATTTCACGTTTGCCACTAAAATTAATTTATTCCATCCGTAGTCACTTAAATTAAGTTAACAGTTCAAGTTTGGTCACTTGCCGTTAGTCTCCGTTAACTTTTACTGATGTGGCGGTCAATTTTTATAGTTGACCGTTAAATGAGTGATGTGGCAATTAAAATAATAATAATAAATAAAATTTAATTATTTTTTATTTTCCACCTAATTTTTATTTTAAATACCTAACTTGCCGCTAACTTCTCTTCGGTCACCGGATTGAGAAGGTACACGCTGTTGCCGACGGGGCCGAAGGAGGACCAACCAACCGTCGCTGGAGCCCACGCTGCGGCTGGTCCCTATGTTTGCGAATGAGGCGGCCGAGTTCGCCGCCGCGATGATCGAAGGAGGGCATGCGGTCCAGATCGGGGAAGAAGCGATGGCCGATGGGGTGGCCCACAACGAGTTATTGTGGTGGTAGTGGTGCCGTCACGACGACCTCGAGAAGACCGTAGTTTCGGCAATGCGAGGATGCCTAGAGTGCTGCGGCGACAACGGTTGTGGGGGAGGAGGTTTTTCTTGGGCCCAGATTTCGAAATCGTTCCTGAAGCTTACCTGTCAAAATGTACACGGCCACAAGCAAGGTCTACGATTGTGACCAGGGCCTGGAGGAGATTGTTGTTGAGGAAGATAGAGTAGAAACGGTTGTGCCTGGTGAGAGGGGATGAGATTGAGCTGTGGAGCTGAGGTAGGTAGATAGATAGATGAATACGTATAATGGGGCAAAAGGGGAAACTCTTAAACAAACAAAGGTCATGTCCACTTCCATTTCCATCCCAAAAAGTCATCTTCTCCACCATCCATTCAATTCCTTCCTTGTGGCTGCAGACCAAACAAGATCCCTCCACCGTCCATAACCCCCAATTTCTTCCTTCTCAGTCTCTCTATCTTTAGGGTTTTCCGATTCGGTTGTCTGCCATCAGTTAATTAATTCATGCAAAAGACAATATATTGATAAATCTCAAAACAGCCATGTGGAAGCCTCCATTGGCTCTCCTCCTTTGCTGCGGCCAAGAAATATCGCACAATTTTCACTCTGCGAGGTGAGATGCGTGGATGGTTGTTGTTTATACTCATCTGATTTTTAGGGTTCTTTCCTTCTTTCTTGGTTGACTTGAAGCAAATCTTTTTATAGTGCCTAAGTTGGTCAAAGATGGTGAGGGGGAAAGTGGAGTTGAGGAAGATCGAGAACGCAGCGAGCAGGCATGTGACGTTCTCGAAGCCGAAGTATGGGCTGCTCAAGAAAGCTCACGTGATGTCTGTTCTGTGCGACGGCGAGGTTGCAGTCATCGTCTTCTCCCAGCGCGGGAGGCTCTCAGAGTTCTCTAATCACGAGTAAGCTAATGCTATTTAGGATTTTCTTTTTTTAATTTTTAAAATAATTAGGCGGAAAATAAAAAAATAATTAAATTTTATTTTTATTATTATTTTAATTGTCATGTCGCTCATTTAACGGTCAACTATAAGAGTTGACCGCCAAATCAGCAAAAGTTAACGGAGACTAACGGCCAGTGACCAAACTTGAACTGTTAACTTAATTTAAGTGACTACGGATGGAATAAATTAATTTCAGTGGCAAACGTGAAATTTTTGAGTAATTCTAGTGACCAAACATGCAATTTAGCCTAATTTATAAGGATAAGTGCAATATAATGATTTTTTCATATTTTCAGACTGAAACGGGCTAAAACAGGTGACCCATTAACTCTTGACCCACTAACTCAATCGAGTCCGGATCTACCCGCGGATTGACAACCTTAATACGAGCAAAATGTGGGCAGGTAACCACCCCAATTTCCACCGCTAACCCTAGGGTGGTATTAAAAATGGTAGAAAGAAAAACAAAATATTGAAGACGACTTCGTGAAGAAGTTTTAAGAAGCGCAAGGCCCCATAACATAAAGAGTCGAACTGTCTATTCGTTTCTTTTATTGCCGTCCTCTTCACTCCTTACAGCTAGGGGTCAATAAACCAATGTTGTCAGAACCGAACCGGAGCATGATCCGATAATGCGAACGGTTCGCATTTTAGCGGTCCAACCGGCATTAGACCGTTTAAAAACCGTTAGATAACCGGTATCTAATAAACGTTATCAGTATAAATAGTGGGCATTTCTTAATCAGAGCTCATCTCTTTCCTTCAAAATTGTGAATTGGAAATAAGGATTCAAATTGAGAGCCCGACGTTTTTTGTTTATTTCAATTTTCAATTTTCTACAATTTTTTTAATTAAATTTAGTGGCTGAATGGCAAAAACCGGACGAGCGGCTCGATCGGCTCGAACGGTTAACCGCCTCAGCCGCTCACCAACCGCTACATAAAACCGGAGCGGCTTTTAGACTGTTCCGAGCCTGTTTTGTGACCGGGTGGCGGTTTTACCGGTCGGGCCGAGCGGCTCGGCTCGGCTTTAATAACACTGGAACAAACACACCCGCAAACCGACCCACCCGTCCAACCCGACCCAACCCACCCGTATTTATCGCTAAATCGAAGGTTTTGGGTTGGGTGAGGGTTTTTTTTTGTACAACCCGCCTCTTTTGGGTTGGGTTTGGATTTTGGATTACACAACCCGTAGAACCCGACCCAACCTGTGTTCCAATTATTGGTATGAGTTCATATCCAAAAGAATATTTATGTCGTATATAGTCATACTTATGAGAAAATTAAGATATTTCGCCATGTTTCTCTCTTAAAGTCTCACTAATCTAATGCATTCTTCGACTTAAAGTTTAGACCTATATTTAATATAGCTATGATTCACGTAATTTTTTTTTCTTGTGTACAATTTTAAAAGAATATCATATTATGGATGCGTTCATTTGTAACCTTTTTAGCCTATTTCAACAAATGTCGTGAAAAAAAACTAGACATAAGTTGAAGTAAATCAAGTTTTATTAAAATTCAAACAATATTTGTGAATTTGGATACATTTCACCTCGGTTTATTCGTTTGAATTTTTAATTTGTTATAAAATGTATGATGTAGAATAATTACATATTTGTGTTGGGTTGGGTTTTTACTTAAAAATATCGGCAACCCGACCCAACCCAATTAGAAACAAACCATAGGATTTAAATTTTTTTGGGTGGGTTTGGGTTTAATATTTCTCAAACCGTAGTGCATGGGTCGGGTGATTAAAATGGCTAAACCCGGACCACCCGACCCATGTACACCCCTACTTACAGCCACACCACTGCCCCATCTCCCTCAAATTTCAAACTCTCGCCCGATTCCGCCAAATCTCCGTTGAAAAGGGAATTCTAGAGCAGGCAGGCAGGCAGCATGGCGATGGAGGCTAATAATAAGTCATTCACATGGAAGATCTCGCCTCCGTCGAAGTCGGGATTAGGAATGCGCAAGTCTGAAACGTTTCTTGCCGGCGGCTGCCAATGGTACCCTGTTATCATTATGTTATTCGTTGCTAAAAATAATGTTGGTATACGTTGGAGTTGCAGATGCATATATAGATGTATTGAATGCCGGCGTTTTTTTGTTTGTTTTCTAAATATAGTTATGTTGTTCTTGCTCGAACAGGGTCATTGTGGCTTATATACGCGAAGATCCCTTGGTTAGAGATGATTGGGTCATCTCTTTATTTCTGCGTTGCTGTTCCGACATGGGACCAAAACTATATGATGATGGTGGTCGTCGGGACAGATTTGCCAAATACGTGTTCACTGTTTTCACCCCGGGAGGAGTTGCAAACAACTCCTTAAACCTAATAGGTTTGTACATTCTGATCTTTCTTCTAGCTTCTTATGATTATCGAATGAACGAATGCTCAATCAATTGAGTAGGCGCACCTTTAAGAATGGGATTGGCCGTATGCAGTCCTTCAAGTGACTTTCCCTCCTGTTCTCATTTTTCTGAGTCAAACGTGCACATTAAAACGTCTATCGAACTCGATCGATCTTGACCATTTCTGATACTACAGCCACTTTTATGATTAACCTCTCGCAGGAGAGGGCAAACGGCATTTCACTGTAGGCGGGACAGGCTGGGGATTCAAAGATTGTATCAAACTGTTTAGCTGTCCCAAATCTCCCTATATTGGGGATGATGCTCTCGTAGTCCATGCGCATGTCTCTACAGTTAAGTCCTGCCTCACCAATTCATTCACCCAACTCCCTCTCTCCTCTTAACTCAAACAGAGATGGTCTTTGTTGATTTACTAGTTGGGATGCTTGCAGGGACCAGCAACACCGGATTCTGGTTATGACACTGATTATGACGACCAGGAGCAAGACTCCTCGTGGGATGCTGACACTCATCAGGACGAAGAAACATCATCGGATTCTGATTACTACAACCAGGAAGGAGACTCCTTCTCGTTGTCGTCGGGTGCTGACACTGATCAGGAAGAAGACGCATTAGATGATGATGATGATGATGATGATGCTACTGCTGATGAGTCTGATCATATTGAGCCTGATGACCAACCCAACGGAGCCTCGATCGAGAAATTGGCAAATCATGAGTGCCTCTCAGGACAGACACTTGCAGCAGCTCGGGAGGCATATGGACGGGTTCAGACTACCCAACTGTCAACTCACCAGGTAATATTATATACATGTGCCCATTTGTTTTTGATCAATCAGTATATGGCTTCGGGGGATAAATGCAATAAGTATCCTTATTGTTTTATGCAACTGTTGTATCATGAAATATAGTCAGCTACCACTATATCATAGCCAATTGTGAGCCAGAATCCTAACATACATTTACCTTCTCTTACCCTATATTTATATATAACTCAGGTTGGTTGCCTGTACCCCGACCCTCTGTCGTCCAAGTCAGGATTGAGCTCAAGCAACCTGATAGCAGAGCTATCGACAATGCTCACCCTGAATACCAAATCCCTTGCATCAGGCAATGGCTCTACCTTACTACTGCAACAGCAGAAAGAAACATTGGCTAGATACCTGAACATGCCACTTGAAGCCATCCACAAAACGGATTCGTTTGACAATGTCGAGCTGCTTGCTAAGCTGATTGCTGATCACCCGTCCGCTGAGGTTGATAAGGAGATTCTGAAGGGTTTATTGTCAGAGCTAAAAGCGGGGATCCCCAGCACCATGTCCATAATCGAATCTTCCCGTGTCACTGAAGCTTCCATGGGGTGGATGGAGGAGGATCTGGAGGCGAGGCTGTTTCACAGGCACAGGCAACTTGGATGCTTGAAGGTCGAAGTTTCGAGACTTGAGGAGGAAGAAAAGAAGCTGGAGGGTGATATTCAGCAGCTGATTGCTCGTAAGGCCAGAGTTGGGGTTCAGAAGAAATCAACGGCTGATGAGTTGGAGAAAGCCAGCCTGGAGGCAACCAAGGAAATGGAGGAAATGAAGGAGACAAGTAGCAAAAGGAAGCGGGCTTGCGTGGACAAGCTGGCTGCCGAGGATGAGCTGTGTCGGCTCAAAAGAAGTTGGAAAGCTTTGAAGCAGACGTTGAAGCTGTGATCGGTGGGGAGAGATCCGTCACTGCTGGGCGCCCGCAGTTAGCTGTAAACTGAAGATCAGAAGATGCAAGCTAGGTAGATGAAACTTGAAAGTATCTTATCTTCTTAACTTATATTATGGTCGTTGTGGAGCAAGTTTTTGCCACGTAGGACAACGAAAGCTCCACAATTTTCCATTTCATTTTGCCATTTTTAACATTTTAAGTTATTAGATAAATTAAAATAAAACTAAATAAACATATAAACATGCATATCAATCATCATCACCAAGATTTGAACCAATAACTATGAGGTCAAACTATCATCATTTCAAATGTTCAACCACTAGGATAAAGTATATTTGATGCTATTAACCACAACAAAAGATGTATATCAATCACCATAACTAAGATTTAATCATGCAACCTAGAAGCTCAAACTGTAATCATTTCAATTTTTTAACCAATAGAATAATATATCTTTCATGCAATTAATCACAACTATTTTTTAACCAATAGAATAGCTATCACGGTAACAATTGTTTATTTTATTTTTTAGCATTGATAAGAAAATCATTAACATCTACAAATAAATTATTTTTAGTTTATAATATATTTCATAATTGTTTATAATTTCTTAAATATAATTAACAAAATCTGAAAAACATAAATTTAGTTGGTACACAATTATAAACTTTTACATAATTTGATACAGTGATTTTTTTTAATTGAAAAATGAAAGGTAAAGAATATCTTCTTCTGCATTCTAGAACACGAAGAATTTAACATTTAGCTTGTATGAACTACTATAAATATGTGAACCAATATAGTTATGTTGCAATTTGTTAGAAAAATACTTACTATAATATATGAAATATATCAACATAGTTCAGTTATATGCTACAGTGATATATACACAAATTTTCATGTGTTTAAGAATATCACTATACACCAATGGTCACCAAATTTTTTTTGTATATTTTCAAAACCGAATTATGGCTATATGGTTTAAATATGTTTGTGACCAATTGGTGAAAGAAGTTATAAAAAATGACATGTACATATGCATAATGCATTTGTCATTTTTAGGATTGAATTTGCGCATATTAAAATGATATCATTATCATTTCTTTTATGTTATTCCAACTTCTTTCTTTTTTCATTTTCCTTACGTCATTAAATATTCTTTCATGCACAATTATAAAACACATTGTCTTTACTTTTTCCTCCATGAGTGTAGATGTGAAACTTTGAGTCATATTCAGATGAATAACACCTAATTCAACCAAGATTTGTAAACGAATCTTAAGCTATTGGATATATGACGGTTGATATGTAAATAACTATTTTAATCCTTACTTAATGTGACACCCTAATACATATATTACTATTACTATTTTTAGTAACCAGTTATACTCGCCGGATAACCTTACTCATAAGATAATGATCTATATCTTCTCCGTTACCTTTAAGAGTATAGTTCAAAATGACTTATTGTCCTTCCCATTGACCATGACAGAACATGGAGTATTCAGTTTCACGTTACCCACCTCTCAGCCCTTACTGATTTAACTTACTGTCAAGATACATCCGATATGCTATATCTTATTCAGTCAAATAAACATCCATTCATCACCACATGCCATATCACATTCATCATCTCAAACTCAAAGAATTCATACAGCACAACATAAGAACCATCACCCAGTCTCTTGAGAACTCACTGTTTAAACATGTATGCATCAAATATCACATCATACTAGCATTACCATGTAACCCCTGTCCCAGCATAGCAAAACATCATATCATCCAATCTTAAATCACTGTGTAAAACACCATAGAAAACCATCATCATCGACATGCACATTTCATATATCACATCATAGAAAGTCATCACTTAATCACATCATAAGTAATATTTATAAAATGATTCAATCACATGCATGGTTAGGTTCATTGCATTTTACATCTTAATTTGGCAAGTCATACACTCCTCGGGTAGTATAGTAGATGGCATGCATACCACCATAGATCGTACTGGGACTGGTGTCCTATAAATCCACTGTGGATCATACCCAAACCGATGTCATGTATACCAGGGTGGGACGTACCCGGATCGGTGTCCTGTAAAACCAACGCATGATCATATCATGACGATGTCCTGTAAATTCAGTTACTATACTGACTGCACAACAGAGCATCTTTATGTTTGTATTAAGTTATCACACAATTCCAGTTACAGTCAGTCACATATTAAATATTGGAGGGTAATGTGAAGTGAAGACAAAGGGTCTCCATAACTAACATTTGCTTTGATATAATTCGTACAATGTTGAAGGTAAGAAGCATAGCAGAATAGTTTGGTTGTACTTTGATATAAGGGTAGAAAAGGCTAGCATACACTCGAGGTGTAATATGCACCTTCATTCATACCTATTAGTTGTATGCTAATATATTTTGACAAATAAGAATCAGTGATTATTATTTTAAATTAAATGAGTCGTACGATTTGGATTAGAGAATTAAAGACTATGTTTCACCTATTAGAGAATATGGTATAACATCATGTGCCAAACTCCGTTAATTCATGGTCTAAATACCAACTCTATAGGAGTACGGTAAGGTGGCGTACATGAGCTTAAACCATGTACAGCTTATGAAGTTGACAATTGTTGGTCAATCAAAGATCCGATGGTCATGAATAATATTTTCCAAGCGGTGATGATGTTACATCGTTGTTTGACTTTATTGTCGATCATCATTAAAACCTAGAGTAAATGTAGCGCCCCTCATGTCAGATAAGTCAGTGATAATAGGTAACAATAATAAATAAATATAAAAAGTAGAAATCTGATACCATTGAAAAAAATGACAAATAATAGAAGTAAAAGTACAAATAAATGAACACGCCGCCCATCGGGCGGGCACAAAACTAGTAAATATAAGGGAATGTCAACATAAAATTTCTGACACGTCAGCCTCTCCTATTTAAACCGCATGATGCGGAGGGATAGATTTGTCAATTCCGTATCTGTACTGTTCGCCAAAAATTGCTGGCCCAATTGCTTTTTTTATTGACACTGTAAGAACTATTTAAATTCTTTGATTTTTACTTTTTACAACCCCACTACTAAGTATTAACGTCCGCTGCATTCTTTTTATTCAAATTCATGTTATTATTTTTTGGTGGAAGTCATCTAACAATAAAATGAATTATTTTTTTCTATTTTTTCAGTTCCTCTTTTCATTTACTTTGGTAATACACCATAAAAGATTGATCCAAACCCGTGTTTGTAAAATTGTATTGTATGACGGTTCGATCGAAATAAAATCTTTAACGGAAGTCTGATTGTTAAGTAATTTGTAACGATGTGAATCAGTTGAACCACGATTAAATCATAATTTCACATAAAATATCATGCCGACTTTTTCGGTACAAACCTTAGTACAATTTTACAACCTTTATATAAACAAAAAAAGGTTTCACGTAGAATACCATAATCTTTTCACTAATACAGACACTTTTATCATGTATATTATTGAATCCAATCCTTTTTACTTAAGAAACTGGGTCCTGGGTAGATTAGTTAGATATGGGTTTCAATGAAAATTAAATTGGGGTTTCAATAAAAATAAACTTATTGCATTATTTATAGATAATAGAGTTAGTTTGGAAGTTGTGATTGTTATAGTTTTGTTTATTAAATACATGTTTTTAATATAATATATTATCTTTTATTAAAAAGAGAATCTTTTAAAAAAATGATAAAGAGGGAAACATAAAAATGTGTTTATTTATTAAGGAAGCATATAACACTCAGCAGGACACAAAAGAATTTTTTTATTAAGAGGTTTGGAAGCCGAATGTTAGTTTGCAAACCATGAGGAGGATTAGCAACATATTAATTTTCTCTTTTATTACGGAAGCCAACTTACATTCCAGGACTAAACTTTAGCCAACATTGTTTCGTTATTAATTTTTTGTATTGAAATTATAATTTATACTTAATTTTGTTGGTTTATATTTTCACTAAATTGTGGAGTTCCATTAATTTTTATATAATTATAATTACAGAAATTTTAAAATATTATCATAAAACACATATATAATTAACTCGAACATATAATTATCCGGCCGACCGGCCGGGCCCGCAATCTAGTTATCTATATATAGACGTTAGTGCAAGTTGGGGGAGTTCTTTGCGGAAGGAAATGTGATGCCAAAAACAGGCCGTTGCATGGTTTTTGGGGGTAAATTACAAGATTGGTCACCGGAAATTTTAAAAAGTTCACATTTGGTCACTAAAAGTATTTTATTTCATTTATGGTCACTGAAAGTGATTACGTTTCATGGTTGGTCACTCTCCGTTAATCTCCATTAACACCGTCACTGTTTTGCTGACATGACTAACAAAAGTGATGAGTCACCAAATTTTAACCTAAAAAAATTAAAACCAACCAATGACCCAACCCAATTTAAACCCTTACAAATTAAAGCCCCGACCTGCCTCATCGGAAAAAATCCAAAAGTACCACTGTTTAAAAAAAGAAATTCAAAAATACCACCCAACCACAAAAAATTCCAAAAATACCACCCTTTTTCAGAAACCTCCACCCCACCCTGCGGTTTACACGAAAACCGCTGGGCGGGCGCGCGGTTTTCTATGTAAACCGCGAGGCTAAGGGGCGGTTATAAAAAAAAAATTGGACCAAACCCCTTGGTGGGGTGGCGGTTTGGCCCAAAACCGCCACCCCACCCAGCGGTTTGGTCCAATTCTTTTTTCGATCAACTCCTAACTTCGGCCGAAACTTCAAACGAACATAACTTTGCACTCGGGTATCTGATCGTAGCGATTTTTTTTTTCATTTCGCATAACTATTCAAGATCTACAACTTTTACTAGTATGAAAATTTTAAAACAGGAATAGTTATGGATATACGGGACCTTGGGAATAACTTTACCTTTCACAAATTCATGTACATTTTGAAATTATAATTATGTTAAAAGTTGTATATCTTGAAA